TCGCGCCTGGCGTCCTTCCTCTGACCGCCCTCCCTCACGGTACAACCAATACCCTGTGCACGTGTGTGGCAGGCACCACACACTGCCTGGTGCACAGCTTGCCACACCTGCACACCCTGACTGACACAGGCACACCCTGACTGACACCCTGACCGACACAGGTACACCCTGACGCACACCCTGACGCCCTCACCCCCGCGCAGCCCCTTTAAGCAGGGGGGCGAAGCCATTTCCCGCCCGCGCCGCCATTTTGTCCCTCCGCCCCAAGGTGCCAGCTCCTCCCTTTGGGATTTTCCCTCCCCTTTGGGGTTTTCCCTCTCCTTTTTGGGCTTCCTCTCCCCGCCCTTGGGCTCCTGTCTTTCCCTCCGCCCTGGGCTGCAGGTGGGGCTGGGTGTGAGGGCTTCCCGGTGCCCATCAACCCTTAGGGTGCTGCCTCCCTGCCTGCAAGTGAGGGGTTGGACAGTAAATGGCGGTGCATGCAAGTCTCTGTGGTTGGGAACCGTGGGGACGCAGGCTCACCAGTGCTAATTAGTGGCTGGAGATGGGTTGATGATGTGATTATGCCATGTGTTTCATATCTATCTTTATTGTGACTGTGATGTTGTCCTTTCAGGGAAAGGGCTGATCCTGGATGGTGCTGAGAGAACATTCCCTCAGATGCCCTTGAAGGGCCGCGCTGCTGCCTTGAGGAGAGGATAAGTGTGTGGTACCGAGGGATGCTGCAGCTGCTGCAGCCTGGGCCTGTAGCATTTTAAGCCTTTAGTTGCCTTCTTTTATATTCCTCTGATAAATGTGTTTCCAGACTTATTTTCTTTAACCTAATTCAGCTGTGGCATGAGGCAAATAATTTAGCAATACTCCTTTTGAGTCAAGAGTATTGGCATGCCTCAGAGGGATAGCTGAGGGTGACCCTTCTTATATAAATGAAAGTTCTTCTGTGTCATGGAAGCAAGTTTGAGGGCCACATGTTGAATACTTCTTATAAAATGAATAAGATATCTTCCTTGAGGGCTTTAAGTTCCATTTTAGAGAACTTGCTTGCCTTTTCAGATAACTGCTTATTGCGTTTAAAAGTGTAGACCGCTGTCTACTTAGTTGCCAGAGTCTGTGACAGATTGTTGCACTAATGTCTAACAAATGGTTAAAAACTCTCATATGAGGTACCAGATATAGGATAGCTCAAATAATTTCAGACTTTTGTTTGTTTGAAACAAATGCCCTCTGAAAAATGTCAGCAGTTTTTCAATATTAGCTTATTAAGATTTGGACAACTTGATGCTCCTTGTTACAAAAAGTAGAACCTGACTTCTATTTGCTAAATATCCCTAATGTCTCAGCACACTCATAGAACTGAAATACTGAAATAATAAAAGGTATTCAGAGAAGCTAACAAAGCTCCTATGGCCCAACTTTGACATCCATAGAGGACCCGGGTGTGCGGTAGCTCACAGCAAAGACTAAGGCTAATCACTCAGGCTACGCTGGCAGTCTGAAAATAACTGACTTTTTTTTTTTTATTAGAACTTTTTTCTATTTCTGAGGAAAGGATGGACTTGCATTTTAAAGCAGTTTAATATTAAGCTGCACAACTCGATTAAGGGTGCAACTTGACACTTTTTATTCCCCATGTAAATGGCCTTTTGTATATGAACTGTCTCATTAAATTCAGTTGGACTTTCTAGAAGGTTATGGAGAAGAGGAGAGAGTGGATAAATATTTTTCAGAAGCTGTTGCTCCTGAAAATGGCTAATAGTCATTTAAGACTAAGATAGATCCCGGACACGTATTTAAGAAGCATAGACAGAATAGTAAAATGGTAGCTCTTATGTATCCAACACAAGCAATAAGGAATTTGCTACTTAAGAAGGCTTGATATGTTCTTTTTAGAAGAAACATTGCACTGTATATGCCAAAGCATTTATGTTTTTAAAAATAACTTGTTATTTTAGCTACGAGTAGTTTTAAGTGATTTGTTATGTTTTTTGTTTGTTTGTTTTTAAATCTAAGTTAGTTTTCTCCAATTACAGATAAAGAATGGCTTATTTCAGTTCAACGCAGGACTTTGTTGCACTTTCAGATCTGCATCCAAATCTTGCTCGTCCTGTAGGTCTCAGTGACATGGTACTTTTGTTCTCAAATGAAACTGAATATGACTGTATTATATTACTGCAGAATTATGTAATTGACATGCATTTAGATACTAATAGCATTAGTATAATTGTTAGATATAAACGACCTTCCCTTCTTTGTGCATAAACTAGCAAAATGAAAATTGATGCTGCTGTTGTCCATAGTATGTGGATACCACAACTATAGATATTGACTGGACAATTCAAGGTCTGAAAGTATCAGAGACTTCTTTGTAATGTTTTAAATGAGTGCGAAATTAGTAAAGACATGTTCAGAGTCAGCTTTATTTAGCCACAATACATCTGTAGCCTACAATAGTCTTTCGGAGCAAGCTATGAACATAAGGCCCAATCCTGCAGTCTTTACTTGTGTGCTCAATCCCACCGAAGGAAATAATGTAGGCCTTAATTATTCAAACAAAACACTCATCAAATATGATGGTGTTTTGACTACATTTATAAAAACCCTTCGCATATCAAAAGGGATTTTTTCTTTATTTGGAACAAAAATAAGGCTATACAGTTGTCAGGCTAGAGGGAGCTGAGAATTTCCTTATGGGACCATAGGAGAGTAGAATGAAAGTAAAATTTTAAACTTAGAAAATTACAAGGAGTGATCTTGACAAAAGGCAAAATTTAATACTTGTTAGTGTTATGTTTGGATATGCATGGGTGCATATGTATTAAATTATGTTGTTATTGTCCTGATTTGAGTGAGCATTATCTTCACTAGAATGGGAGTTGGAGGTGCACAGTTAAACACAGTATTTTTTTTTCCCTCGTTTGGATTTTAGATTCAAAATAGGAATCTCGGGGCCCCAAACTTTTCATTCTTTGCTCTTCAAGGTTATGTTTTAGCGTGGGAGGGGGGCCATGTTGTTCTCCCCGCTGCAGCGTTTCCCACCCTTGTGCAGCCGCCGATGGTAACGTGTTTTTGAAGCGTTCGGAGATGCCGGAGCTGGGAGAACAAAACGAGGAGGCTGCATTTCCACATGGCTGCACCGCAAGCCGCGGGGCCGCGTTATAACCGTATCCCTCCATACAACTTGAAGGAGATGCACAAAGTGGGGCTGTATGGCCCACGGAAGTCCTAATGCCTTGTAAAGAGAGTTGAAAACAAGGAATTTTCCTGTTCCCACAGCTTTATCTTTGGGGGGGGGGGGGGGGAAATGCAACTTGGCACTTTATTCTCATTTATTTTCAACAAGGACACAAAAATCACAGAGAAGGGATGACTGAGGAGAGGGAGTTTTATACACACAATAAGATTATATATCCTTTCCAACTTTTCATAAACTTCTGGTTTTCATCAAAGTTCAGTTAATTCACAATTGTTCCCAAATACAGTGACCCATTAACTTGGTTAAAATATTTAATTATACAAAAAACTAAGTGAATATTGCAATTAGCAACACCTAAGAAATATTTTTGTATAAGAGCAGCTCCCTGGTTTCTGGTGGTAGATCAATCCGTATGTATTTCAGAGGATAAAATAGTTGAGTATACATCATTCTAACTATCCTAATGCCATAGTATTTATTTTGCACTTTATTTTTAAAAAGCTGAAATAGATTCAAGTCTCAGACGTTTGCAGCGTCCTAGTGTGTAGCCTTGTGATTTGGTTGAGTAGTTTTAAGCAATGCTCTTGCCAAAAAAGGCAATATGGCCTAGACTCTCGTCCCAAGCACGTGTCCCACTGCTCCTCTTGGGGTGGAACGGGTGCTTGTGTAGTTGCAGAATAAGCTGATCAAGGAAAAGATCTCCCTGAAAGCTTTTCTACCTCCTGCCCTCCAGAAATAGTTTTTAGCTAGATCACTTCCTTCAGCCGCTGTGCCTTGCTGGCTTGGTGCAGACTCAAAGGAGATAAATATATTTACAGCAGGGAAACGGGAGATCTTCTCTTTTGGAAACTGCAGATTTAGATCAGCTTAATTCATGTGCAATGTCATTCTAACTTTCAGTTCTTCTGCCAGTGGGGAGATAGAGGGTGTGTTGCAATCTGCTTTAATTGAAAGGAACTTTTTGCTTAAGAAATAAAACCAAAAGAAAAAAAAAAAAGACCTAAAACCAGAATCTAAATCACTATATGTTGCTGACAGATGGGAAGTACTTTACTGAAGAAGGATTCAAAGAACTACTTTATACTTTTGTACATGTATGTCTTTTTAATGAATTCAGCCAGTTCACTATAAGACAAGACAGCTACCTTGCTCCATCTAGTGACTGAGAGCAAGCTGGGAACAGGGGGAGGTCTAATTTTTGAGCACACTTGAATGCAGCACAGCTTCAGGGAGTGAGTTGGGTTGCTCTGCTTTTGTGAATGGGTACAAAATTCAGTCTGTGATGATTATTAAATGCCTAAAACTGTACCTGACTTTTGTGATTCCCTTGCTGGAACAAGGAAATGAGCAAATACTGCAAGTGTGTCCATGAAGTGGAAGAGACACGGAGCCCTTCATTTATTTCTGTACTCACAATATATGCATTGTGCCCCCTGGAAGGATCATTGGGAATTTAGAACAATTAGGGTAACCTGATGAGGAATACGTTTATGATACTTTCCTCTTTCACAAACTAGTGTCTCCACAGGCTCAGGCCTTTGTCTCTCCATCTGTGTATTTATGCAGTATTGCAATATTGGATTCCCCTTGCAGTTCCTAGAGCTCAGGAAACCTGGACACTCAAATTTGAAATTAATCCTATGCAGACTTTTCATAGTAGATTTACGGAGATCTGAGTCCTGTATAGAGAGCAGGAAAGGACCTTAAGCATTTTTGCCTGCTTGTCCTAGAACAGCCTGCTGAATGCCCTAGAACAGCCAAAACTGAATGTTTTGGGGGTGAACTTGGTATCTTCCCATTGTATTTTAATGTTTTTAATAGTCACTTTTTAAAATTGAATGTTTTTGTTTTAGCTCTTAGTTCATAAGGTATTGTGGAATAAATAGATTAAAATTATTGCCAGTTAGAAATATGTTTGTTATCATCAGTAGAGTACAAGTCCATGAAATCTAATTTATCATCTACATCTGTGTTTAATATTTGTATTCTCTAATCTTTTTATTTTTCAGAATGTAATCGGTGTGGTTATTGGCAAAACAGATGTCAGAGGCTTTCCAGACAGAAAAAGTAGAGTCCTTTTTAAGTGTATTTATTTCATTTTCTTACGCGGTGTAGTTTGGCATGTATAACTGAATTCAATATTAAATGATAAGCAGACTTCTTACTGCAAAATGTGTAGAATAGAAATGTGCAAAAATATTTGTGAGCCAGGAAAGGAAAAGTGAGATAGAGGAGCAGCATTAGTTTGGGCAAACCTTATCACTTAGAATTTGTTTTGAAAAACTCCAGCACGGAAATGTTTCAGATTCAGATTTTGTAACTCAGCCTCTGGATCTGAAAAAGATGGTACCAATTTGAACACATATTTAATACAAATACTTATGGATTTGATTCCAGCCTCTTCATATTCTTTCCTAAAACAGGAATCTGAAGGGGATTTTTTGAGGAGTGAAACAAACAAGTAATTTCTGGTCTGAGTAGCATCAGATTCATATTATTGCATATCCCTAAAGAAAAAAAATGGGAGTAATTATTGTTAATTGTGTCATCTGAAATCCTACACTGATATAATTAGAAACTGAAGCTGTGCCTATATGGAGCTCACTATATAATTTTAATTGGTAACTAGAAAATAATAATTTGAATAATAAAGTATGATCCATAGAAGGCTTTTTTTATTGGTAAACTTTTCATAGGGTCAGAAACACTTTGTTTTATTCTGTAAAATCCCATCATACTGTCTAGACAGTGATATGTCTAGAGATGCGATCACCATGTTCTTTCCATACACGAGCATGGCAGTGTAAAGATGGCCTGCATACCAGAAAAATTGGCTGAATACATGCATTTTTTCATATTGTTCTCTTATTTCTTGTTGCTGTTTAAATATATGTCCTTGTATATGATAATGGTCTGCTCTGTATTAAGCATTATACAGGTGTTTTATTTCTCTGGCATTAGGTCTCTAAGTTTATATGATGCTGCCTAAAGTTAAGTTAAATACATATATATAAATGTGTATATATGATTATATATATATATACACACACACACACACACATCAATGAAGTAATACAGGTACAACCGTGTCATGAATTGCAGTGGTCTCCATTCATGAAAACCAATGTGTTTACTGAAAAATTTGCTGACCTCTAGTGGTGTTACCAGCATGTGGGTAGCATGTTGTTTAACACTTTTAATTTATGGCAAAATCTAGTTTCCTAATAATAGCTTTATTACATATTCTAGATTAAAACCAAGCTGTGCTAATGAATTTTAATAGCACTGTTTCTTTTTGCAGACATTGGATCTGAAAGATACACCTTCAGTTTTACTATTCGTGATTCACCAACTTATTTTATAAATGTAAATTCTTGGGGCAGAGAAGAATATATTAGATCCCTTTCAGAAAGTTTCAGAGTTGGTGACTGTGGTAAGTTGGAGTTTATTCTTAACATGTTTCTGTTTAATGTGTCTTTTTTTCAGTAAATCACTGTTACGTGTTTGTGGTTTTACTGTATTTTTCTCTGAGGACTCAAAAAACAGCCTAATTGGAAACAAGTTCTTCAGTTAAGCATAAAAAGGAAGGAAAAAGATTTCTAGAATTTAGATGCAAAACCAGAAAATATGTCATCAAAAAAACTCTATATAAATCCTCTGAATCCTGCCACTCAGAGCTTATATATGGTTAACTGATCTAACTTCTTACATTGAGTTCTTATAATTTGTGAAAAATATTGTTAATTAATTCAGTGTTTATGCCTTCATTTAATTATTATGAATGTTTAGAAAGATATAACAAAAATACACTAGTCCTGTATTTATTTACAGTCTCTACTTTTAGCTCTCTTAAAAAAAAAATCTGCTGTCCAATAGATGTTGGCCCAGAGATGTTGGACGAACTCATAACTATAAAGAATTTCTATATTAGAACCGTGTCACTTTGTTTTCATTAAATGTTTTGAGGATTCCTGTGGGACATCGGTTATAATGTCAGCTGTCTGGACAGATGTGTTTTTCATTGTGAAAACACTTAGCAGTAGTTATTGCCTGCATGCACGCACACGCACACATATTTTTTTTCCTATCCAACCTGGAAAATGAGCATTATGTAAAGCTGCTTCTCTTTGCCTCTCTCTCTCTCTGTGTGTGTATATATATATATACTCCATTTTCTAATGTTACTTATCCATGTTTTGTTTTAGTTGCAATTGAAAATCCTTTAGTTCAGACAAAGGAAGCAGAAAGGGAAGAAAAGTTCAACCCTGTAACTCCTAGGTAAACTTAAAGCACTGACTGGTAGCTCTTTCCAAAAAGATCACACACTGTTTTCTCTAATTCTCAGCTGGCTGCTGAATGGTGCCATCTTGTTTAGAAGCCAGGTAGTATCAAATGATGTTTGTGACTCTACTGTCCTACTGCTGATGTAACTCAGCATTTTGCAAATGTGGTATTATGTGGATTCCATACAACAAAGTGAAAGTTACTTGATAAGGGCTGAAAGACTTATAAATATGTATTTTGTACACTGCTAGCAATGTGTGTTCTTTTTCAATACTAATCAAGTATAATGTGTACAATAATTATTTTTTCTTAAGAGGAAAATAGTAATTTTACAAATTTGTAAACAAATTCAATTTTTTCAGTAAATGTAGTGCAAATCATAAAGAAAAAGTAGCTGTTCTGTTTTCATGTGAACTGAATTCATATTTTGCACTTTGTAAATTGGTAAGTGAAATGTTGATTGATGTCATTTGTTTTGTATATACTATCTAGTTGCTACAAACTATTGATCAGTGAAAATCACTCCATGGTCAAAACTTGTTCTGCCTATGAAATGGACACCAAGCTGCTTTCTCTGTTGCATCTGCCTGTCAAGGACCCTCAGGATTATTATTCCCTGGGCGACATCGTTGCAAATGGACAAAGCCTCAATGGAAGGATTCTTAATGTACTTGCAGCCGTAATGTCAGTAAGTTAAAGGGCCACAAGAGAATAAACAGTTTTTTCTCAAATGTAGTGTCAGTAACTTAATTGACTTAAGCATGAATATGGATTTCTGGATTCATAGTGGACCAGAATTACTATTTTCTGTTTGTTTGTTTAGATTAGCAATCACTTTGGTTCAGCTGAATAACCACACAAGTTACTGAAAAGTTTCATAAACAAGAGCAGGGGAAAATGAAGGAACTAGAAATGTCCTAGATTAGTTATCTTTTTGAAATCATGTGTAGCAAGCAGCATTCTACATAGTCAGGTTTGCACTGGAAACCTTGCATATATGTAAGGTTTTCACATGTCCCTTTCTCTTAAAGTAAAACTACTGTCAAACTTCCTTCATTTTGTGGAGAATAGGGTTTTTTCCCAGCTATTCTGTTTTCTAGCTTATCACTTCTAAAGAATGTTTAGCAGAATAGAGGAAAAGTAACTGCTTGTCTTACTCTTTAAAGGTTGGGGAGCCAAAGTATTTTGTCACTCCAGACAAACGAAAAGGTCAGAGGTGTGAAGTAAAGCTGTTTGATGAAACAGAGATGTCTTTTCCAATAGTATGGTAAAATGTACTTTAAATTACTAAAATACACCAATTAATGCAAGAGTAGGTAAAGAAATAATATTTAAACGATTGATATAATGTCAGGTTTTTTGATTAATGATATAATTTGGGGTTTTTTTGGATGGCTACTGTGATAAGGCAGCAATATTGATCAAACCGAGACTTAAAAAAGATTCAGTAGAAAGGTCTTGGTTATATTGCCCCTCTATAAGACAGCTAGCTCATGGATGGCAAAATGAAGCATAATTCCAAATGGATTATAAGTATTGCCAACGATACGGATAAATGAACGAGTTCTTTGTTTGCCCAGGGCCGTCCGCGTTCTGCACACAGCTGCAGGGCTGGTTTCTTTGGTAAATGCAAGGCTTATCTGCCTGCAAGGCTCTGAGGTAGTCAGTGCTTGCTGACTGCAATGAACTTTGTTCCCTAAATGCAGATAACGAGATAGCATTGCCTGTCGGAATTATAGAACTGTGTTATGGATCAGTGTAGTGTTTAACACAATTTCTGCATGTGAATGTTACTAAGTATGGGTACTACGTGCAGTGTTCAAATCCTTGAGCTGCCCCCATATGAATTTGGAGCCATGCTGATGAGATACGTTTCTGTCAGTGCTGCTCTGCAGTGACAGGGCTGTGTATGTGAGGAGTTCTCAAAAGCAGACAACAGGCAGTGCTGGGTCAGCAGTGCCTCTTGCTCATGGAGCTATGGGTAGAGGCAAAGATTCAGGAAATTCTTAAGCAAAGGTGATGGTGTGAGGATATTTCAGAGACCCAGCAAGGAGATGAGTGGGCAATGCTAGATGGATTTAAAAAAAAAACTCAAAACAAATGAATAAAAACCTTAAAATGTCTTTTCTAAGGGAAAAAAAAAAAAAAAAAAGCTTTGGGAGTTTTCAGCCATCCTTCCACCTTCCAAACTTATAAGGAAGTGTGAATGAGGTTTGTCAAGGGACATAACCATCAAGCTATCGTTTTTGAGGGACATCACCAACCTCAGGCTAGTTTAACCACGCACAGTTGCAAGGATTCCAGGGTCAGAAAGCTGGCTGGGCATCTGGATTAGTGATCAGCTAATCAGCTTGTTCCTGCAGAAAAGCCTCAGCTGATAAGCAGTTATTTTTTACTCTGATTTGTTCTAGTTAGATTTTTTTTTCCCTCAAAGCTCTGAAATAGACATGTTATTTTTCCAGGTATGGGCTGCATTCAATCGTTCTGAACAACCTCACAGCGCTGTATTTTATCCTGCATGGAATCATCTAGGGACTGTATTAGATCAGCTGTACATTCATAGCAACTGGGCTGCAAACTAGACGTCTTTGGGTATCCACATTTCAGTTGAATGTACATGTAACAAGGGGATAGTGTCCCCTTTGACCAATTAATTATACCTGTATGATTTAGTAATTTGAAGGCAGAGGAGATAAATGCTCCTTAGTGGCATTATTATATGTATTATTTTTCACATATGTTCATGGCTGTTTCGAAATGTTTTGACTGACTAGCTTTTTTGTTAATTTAGTTGGGATAATGAATCTATCCAGCTTGCACAAAGTTGGATCCCGCAAGAAACAGGTATGATTTTCTGATCTTGATATTTTTACTATTATTTGTAGTTCTTAATGTGATACCTGCTTTAAAGTAACATGAAATTTGTTTTTGTGCCTAGTAATATTTGCATCGGATGTGAGAATAAATTTTGACAAATTTAGGAACTGTATGACTGCCACTGTGATATCAAAAACCATTATTACAACTAATCCAGGTAAGATCTGTTAAATATTTTTGCTGCAATGCATGAATGAGTCAACTGGAGGTCTGATCTGTTCTCTGCCTGCCTCACACAGCTCCCTGCTTCTTGCCTGTCTCCATTTGAGCTTTTGTTTTGTTTCCTCAGTTGGGTCTGGAACACAAATGTAATACCTTTTAGGTTAAATACATGCATCAGATTCAATCTTCAAAATTTCATGTGCATCTTTTGTGATCCTAACAATAACTGTGTGTCTTTGAAAATGCAGAATTTGGCCAGCCATATCTGTTTATATAGACGTATAAAATTCCATTTATCTTAGGCTAATCTCGTAATAGCTGTCTGCTTATGAGTCACCTTCAGCCTTTGGCAACACTTTCTGGAGATAGCAGTTATCAGAAGAAGAGAACGGCCATAGTTCAAGCAGAAAGTGATTATTTGCTTGATGTTCCCCTTCAACTTTTTAACAGCTTGTTTCCCAAGGAGCTGTTCATAACCGAATGCACTTGTACCATGTGTGGCTCAGTTACTGCTGTGTGCAACTTAAAGATTCCTAGTCTATTTAGTCATTCCTTGTATAGAAATAACTCTAAATTTCTGATCACCCCTTCTTTGGGCATCTTTTCTAGTTCTCCTATATCCCTTTTTCAAATGGGCAAACTCGAATGGCACAGCCTGTTCAAGATATGGGTGTGCAGTTGTCTCATATGGTGCAACCATTCGTTTACGGATCCCAGGTGGGCAGGCTTGGACCAGCCTTCAGATATTCCAGTAAGCTGGTCCAAAGCTCTCCCTCAGCTTTCCCGAGTTCTGTGAGCTGGCAGAAGGATGCATCATTGATACCTTGGCCCATACTGCAGAAGGGGCAGTCAGTTCCTCAATGACCAGTGCTTTTGCCTTCCTGCTTTCTGTTCTGTGCTCTCTAAGCCTTTCTTGTGCATTCCTTGTAGGACTGGTGGTTAGAGAGGAGGAGGGAAAAAAGGAGAGAGAGAGAAAAGAAAAGCATTGCTTGGCTAATTGCAATAGACATGATGTTGGTACTGGTAGAATTAAAAAAAAAAAGAAAAAAAAAGTTGTAGAATAGAATTATTTTATCATTTTGGCAAGTTAAGAGATGTTTGTATGTTTTTTTCAGACACAGCAGAAGCAAGTATGCTCTTCAGCTTCCTAAAAGAGAGTGCACAATCAGGAGCTTTGCACAATAAAATGGAGGAGCAATCAAAAGAATTCCCCAACTGTGAGTGAGGATCTAGGTGCTTTCATTTCACACAATGATATGGTGCTCTATTGTGGTGCACTTGAAATTTCATTTTCTTATTCCTTGTGTTTATAGAAAAAAAGAAAAGGTATTTTCTGTCTCAATACTTAGCTTGGACTCCTACTGGTCTACCTGTAATACTATCAGTTATGAATCTGCAGGCTTTGTGCTTGTGCCATCCTGCAGCTTGTCTGACTATTCTGTGTGGCTTGAGTAAATAATAAAAAAAAAGGAAAGGGAAATTTTTGTTAAAAAAGCATTTTGGAGAGCATATAAGGAGCGCATCTTTTTTTTCATCCCCAGATCATAGCTGTGCTCCAAAAGAAAAGTGCTTTTGTTGTTGCTGCTATTTTGTGCAGTTCCTTAGACACAGTTAACATGTCACTTTAACTTTTAGTGGAGAGTATAGTTGATGTTTATACTGTGGAAGAGCTGAAAGCAAAAGCTTTACAAAATGATGGGAAACTTGCGCCCATCTATGGCATTATTTATGGCTGCATTTCTACACTGGACATTGATAATGATGCATCTAAAATTATTCGCAAAAGATGGTAAGCAGCTGCTTGTTTTCAATTTGCATTAAAATGTTTTATCCTATCCTCCCCCGACACAAATTAGATTGAACAATATTTTAGTCTAGGTCCAGAAAAGAAATAGTAAGATGGCTCTGGGTAATGCTCTGTGAGCATCTGTTGTGTAGTTTCAGGAGGAGCAGCTGAGTTTTTGAAGGACTTGCTCTTTCTGGTCCCAGGGGAGTGAAGAAAGAGACCATTTTGTCTTAGGTGGGCTTTGAGTGTAGAACATGAAGAATTTTGTCAGAGTCCCTTGGGAAACGCTGAATTCTAGAAAACAGTTTCAAACAAAGCGCTTTAACCGCCCGTGTCCCTCAGCTCAGCATGCCGTTGTGCGGTGAACGAAGCGACAAACACGTGTGCGTTCTGTGGTGGCCTCTCTGCAGACCCCAAGGCAACTTTCACGAGCTTCGACATCCTCGTCGACGTGTCCGACCACTCGGGCACTCATTCCTCCTGTTACCTGTCCGACTGTGTCGCTGAGGAGGCGCTGGGCTGCACGGTAAGTCACAGCCAATTAGTTCTGTCTCATTCTGATCTGAGCTGCGAAGCCTGATGAAAATTACTACTATATCTAAATATTCTCCACATATATGTGTATACATACAGTTTTAAAAGATGGTGTATGTATGAATACATATATTGTATATATTCATATGCACACACATATACACTTTTAAGTAGTCAAAATTAAGAGTCACTAGATGCTGATACGAGGAAACATGACAAATACAAGTGCAAATAGCCTATTAAGAATACCACTTTATTTTCATTAACATGAGGACATAGTTGATATTCCTAACTTTGATTCTCAAGAACCCTGCAATTTATTGTAATCAACCTGTCTGTCGTGGTCTGTATATCCCACCAATTCCTATGCTGTAAGAAAAAATAATAGCATTTAAAAATGCATTAAAATGAGTAGGATGTTCTCCTCCTCAATGTTTTGGAGATTTTTACAGCTCTGTGTAGAAAAAATGTTCTGTGGTATCATGTCCTTAATAGGTCCATGACTTCCTAACTCTAACAGAAGACAAGAAGACTGCACTGAAATGGCACCTTCTTTTGGAACGAAGCAAGATTTATTTTAAAGTTAGTATTTAATATTAAACTAAAAAAATGGATGTTTCCAATTAGGCAGAATAATTACTATTGAAAAATTGCATGTCAGTTCTACTGAATTTTTTAAAATAAGCTTTAATTATTGTACATATTCTGAATATTCCAAGCAAATATTATTTTAACATAATTTCAACACCAGATGGTATCTCTGCAGGATCAGATTTGCAGGCCCCTTTCAGGAAAACTACCAAAGACACAGACAGCTCCTGGTCCATACTGATTAAGGCAATGATGTTGCAAGAACTTGTATAAAATGAAGTCACTGATTTCTAGAACCGTAGGGCTATAATGGTCAAAGCTAAAAGTATCTGCAAGAATAATGCTTAGTTGATATTTTTAACATATATTTATTATTTAGTTACCTGTATTTGTCCTTGACTTGTACTTTTGGAGATATATTGAGGTATTACTATAACCTGCACTCGTTCTTCAAGTGCAACAGTATTAGATTCACATACCTGGACAAACTGCCAAAAGATCTGCTATTATTTGCAATATTCTTGATTTCTTAAGTTTGTTTTCTCCTCGACACTTTACACTGATCAGAATTCTTTTTTTTTTTAAATCTACCCTTCTTAACAGAATTATTCTTACTCTTCCATCTCCTCTGTTCCTATTTCCAGTAAAACTGAAAACATTTTGCTTCAGTAATGACAGGTTTATAACATTAAATATGTATATTTATGTAAAAATAATATAAAATATGTATAACCACATCTGTCAATTAAACATGCTTTGTGATGTTTGTAAATATGAAATTTCAAAGTGCTTTACAGTAACAAAACCAAAGAACTTTAATTATTTTACAGCTTATTTTGTCACCCGGTTGGAGAACAGGACTGAAAGTGAATGTACTGTCATGCAAACTGGCAGACCCTGCAGAGGCAAGTCAGAGCTTGTTGCAAAAGGGAAAAAGATTACACTACATGGCTTCTTAATAGCTGGGGCAATTTAAAAAAAAAAGTTTTCTTTCTTCATTGTGTTATTAGAGACAGAATGCTGTTGTCACTGGATTTTACTAAGTAAGATCTTTAGGAGGGAGTATAATCCCGATAAGCGGCCATCTGCATTGATCTTTTTAGATAATTGTACTTTAAAACCTCACTAGGGCCTTAGGTGAAGAAAAGTTAATTCTACTAAATTAACTCTTTATATTCGGGAAGCTTTTTTCATTCAGTTTAGAATACATTTGGAAAATTCAGAAATATCCAGTAGTACAAGGCAGATCTCTTGAGCTTCCCTGTTCTGTGTCAGTTCTGCAAATAAAGCCCCGCGCTCAACTGCTCCCTGTGTTCGTGGTGCGTCCTGAGTCCAGGCACGTGCTGGTGTCTGGGTGGAGCCCGGAGCTGACCCCCTCCGCGGCCCGCGAGTCTCTCCCTTCACCAGCCGCTTCCCGAGGTGGCTCTTGCCGCGTGGAGCCGGCTCCCGCTGCGGCCCTTCGTCAGGAGTGAAGCGTCTGCCGC